ATTATTATGGTTCATCTTCTGACCTATCTTATTCGTAATATTGTTATTCGTCGCATTAGTATGATTATTCGCGTCCGTAGTATTACTAGTGGTACAAATATTAAGAGAAAATACCCACATTATCACTAATATTAGTTTCGTCCTTCTCCTCCTCCTCATGATCCTGATCGTGATCCCCCTCCTCCTCATCTTCCTCATCATCATCCTCCTGCTCATGTTGCTCCTCCTCCTCATCCTCCTCCTCCTTATTGCCACGACTGTTATTAGTACTATTATATCATTATTAACTTATCATGATACTGGAGATAACCCAACCATCATCTTTCTAGGGCTATAGGGCTATGGGGCAATGGGGCTATAGGGCCATAGGGCTATAAGGCCTTGGGTTTATAGGGCTATACGGCTATAGGGCTATAGGCCCTAGGGCTATAGGGCCATAGGGCTATAGGCCCTAGGGCTATAGGGCTATAGAGCTATAGGACTATAGGGCTACAAGGCTATAAGGCTATAAGGCTATAGGGCCATAGGGCTATGGGGCTACAGGGCTATAGGGCTATAGGGCTATAGGGCTAGTAGGGCTATAGGGCTATAGGGCGATAGAGCTATAGTGCTATACGGCTATAAGGCTATCAGGCTATAAAAATATAAGGCTATAGGGCTATAAGGCTACCGGGCACCCGGTCATCCAGGCACCTCTGGGCACCTCCAAGCACTCCCGGGCACCCGGGCACCCGGGCACCCGGGCACCCCCGGACCCCCGGGCACCTGGACACCCGGGCACCCGGGCACCCGGGCTCCCAGGCAGGCCACCGAAACCGGCGCGAACCTCACCTAACCATATGAATCCACTAAGACCCCTATAAAGGCAAGCTCTGATTGGGGAATGAGTAATACTATTACAATGAGTAGTAGTATTGATAATATGAGTATTAGTAGTATCGGTGGTAGCGTTATGAATAATATTATTACTAGACTTAGTCTTATCAATATCAATATTAATGGTACGATTAGTAGTCGAATTCGTAGTATAAGTAATATGAATAATAGCTATAATCGTAATATGATTAGTCTGTTGATAGTCTTAGTAGTATGAGTAGTAGTAGTAGTAGTAGTAGTAGTAGTAGTAGTAGTAGTAAGGCTAGTGATAGCACTCATATTCGTTTCTGAATAGTCGTGTTCTTATTCGTCCTGGTAGTCGCATTCGTATTCGTATGATTCGTCTTAGTCGTATGATTGTGCTTCATATGAGTATTGTTATTACTACTGCTAATAGCATCCATCTGAACCTTAGTCCTACTAGTTTTAGTCGTATCCATATTCGCGTTCTTCTTAATATTATCATGATTCGCATAATTGTTTTATTCGTATTATCATTATTCGTAGTATAAACATGATTGTTCATATTAGTATTCTTAGCATTGGCATGAATATTATGACTCATAACATTATTGCTACGAGTACTACAAATAGTCGTATTATTGCAACTACTATTCTTCTTCGTCATCCTCATCCTCCTCATCCTCCTCCTGCTCATCCTCGTACTCATCCTGTTCTTCTGGATCCTGCGTGTGCTCCTTCAACCTGAGGGACAACAGTAGGGGGGGACCAGCTCAGCCGGGGAGGAAACATCGGCATGCAATGGGCGATACATCACCGATTGATCGGCAATGGAACCCCGATAGCGAATCCGCACGGTCCTGGGCGGGGTGGGCCATCAGGCTCTTTATCGGCGATGAATGGGCGATTGGGGGTCGATGCATCCCCTCCTCAGCCCATCTGTCTCTACCACTGCCCCTGACAAACTCACTCTTCCCATCCCTTCTCCAATCTGGCCCCTGCCCTTGCGAGCAGACGCGATCTTCGGATGGAAGGGACCCTGGACCCTGGAGCCCTCTGCGGGCGCAGAGAAGTCCGCTGGCCGAGCACAGCGGGGCATCAGACTGCCGCCCAGCATTGTCTACCCCGACCGTGACGCAGCAGGACGGGCGAGCATGGAAGCGGACGGCAGACCGGAGGAGACGAGGAGACGGGCCGCAGCTTCACGCGGCGAAGTGGGATGAGCTGCAGAGAGCTGGCAAGGGCGAAGTGCAGGAGGCCGAATGATGTTGTTGTATGTATTTGCCCTATACATATATATACATATACATCTCTCTCTCTCTCGCTATCACTATCTCTGTTGGGCCACCCTTGAACACGGCGACATGTGGAACTAATCTCGCAGTCCCGTCAACCGTCATCTCTGCTGCAGACACGCAACGAAAAGAACAGCTAGCGTGCTGAGGGGGAGGAGGCCGCATCAATGTAAGAGGACGCCCAACAACTTATATTGAGCGCAATTGCCATCCAGTCCAATCCAATTCAATCGGCCTGCAAACCAGGTCAGTGCAGACCGTGCAGACCGGGGCAAGTAGTCAAGCAGCCAACGAAAGGTGCAGAAAGCAATCAGAGCTGCGAAGAACACCCCAAAGAAAATGGCCGCACACTGACGTCTGATTTGAGGGGCTGCTGTGGCCAGGTAACATCCTCTAGCTCACGAACGAGCTAGTCCGGCTGACGCCGCTGGGCGACTCCCGACAGGCATCTGCGTCGGTCGGCCCAAGAGGACACAACGGTGGCGCAATGTGATGTATGTAGGCCGACGCACTCGAAGAGCCGCCAACAGCCCGAATCGCAAAACCGAAACCCACTCCCGAAGAGAGTAACGAAACGACTACAAAGTAGCAGACGCACCTTACGAGGATACGTCGGCCTGCAGGTCTCGACACTGTAAACAGAAGCCACGAGACAGTGCCAATACGCAGATGCGTCGGGCAGTCTGTAGAGACACAATGCGACGCCAATGATGCGATGGCTGACACACTTCTCAGAACCGCAAGAGCCCGCACAATCGAAACTGGCCACTATCCGAAGAATGACCCTCGTGGATGGCCAAATAGATAGAAAAAAAACAACAACAACAACAACAACAACAACAACAACAACAACAACAACAACAACAACAACAACAACAACAAAATGCAAGTGGTCATAACTGGAAAACTGGTTGAGGAAGGCGCGAGCCCCGAACAGGCGGGGTATGGTGGCCAGGGAATGAAAAACTTCACATAAGCTGGCCAGGGCTGGAAAGAGTGGACGGGCTGGAGCCCGTTTTTGTCTTTGTTCGCGATAACGACCCCGTGACCGCCGCCCCAACCCCCCCGGTCGCGTCACGATTCGCGCTGGCGCCGTGTGGGGATTAGCCTTTCCTAAGCATTCCCACACGACGCCATCGAGAATCGATGTGACCAGCCCCCTCCCCTTCCCCCCCCGGGCACGCACGTCATCGCCAGGGAATGCGACCTAGCCCCATAAGCTGTCCTCAGCTGCCCTATACAGTCAACCCGTACCATAAGGAGACGCGATTAGGATGCAAGCGCCTTGGAAGGCCATGTTGACCAGGGCTGGCCAGCAAAAGTTGCCAGGGATGGGCCGAAGGGGCAAGGATGCAAGGGTCACTTTGGAAAACGGCATAGACCTAAAGTTTCAACGGTCCGCGCGGATTTTTGGGATCTACGCTGGACCCCCCCCTCCCTGGCGCTCGGAGCGCGCCAAGGGCGGCGCCGGAGGCGCCGCCAGGTGGGTTCTGGCGCAGACCCAAGATGCCCGCACTTACCGTCGAAAGTTTATGTTTATGCTGATCTTCTTCGAAGCGTACACGGCACGAAGGCAGGTGCCCAAGCCGCCCCGCGGGGCTGCACCAGGCAAGAGCGCCACATCTCACTGCCGCCACCGCCACCCTGCTGGCCCTGAACGGCACGGTCGGAGCCACTGCCCAGAGCAAGAGGTAGGCACGTGAAACGCGGGCACATAACTGCCAGCCATGGCTGCATCCACCCTCGGGTCAGCCCTGCATCTGCCTCTCCAGCCTCCAGACATGGATCTCAACAACCAGAAATGCAGCAGCACCCAGAAACACGACCCATCCCAAATACTCCTGACCTCCAACCCCGTCTCCTGCTCGCAGTAGTGGACAATATGTGTGTGTGTCACTTCTGCTGGTGGTATGAATCAGTTCGTCCCTCTTTCTGCCGTCCCGTCTACCCTCTTTCCCATCTACCCGTCTTCCCTCTGACCCACTTCCCCCCGCGCTCGTTCCATCCGCTCTTCTTGCCCTCCTGATTCACCGTGCCTTGGGAGCGCTACGGTTGATTGCTCGACATTGCCATCATACTAACACAGCTAAAATGCCGAGGCCATGTTATTCGAGACCCGGTGTAGCGCTGAGATCTGCAGCGTGCCATGAAGTCCTGACGCGTTGTAGCAGATGTAAAATGATTATCGGAGGTGGCTCGAGAGGAGGAGGGAGGAGGAGGAGTGAGAAAGAGCCAAGAGGAATGATAGAGGAGGGGTGAAGCGAGGAGGAAGGAGGGAGGAGGCAGGAGTGAGGAGTGAGGAGGGAGAAAGAGAAAGGAGGAGGAGGAGAAGGAGAAAAGAGAGACGGAAGGAGGCAAGAGGCAGGAGGGAGGAGGGAGGAAGGAAGAGAGAAAAGTGAGAGAAAGAAAGGAGGAACAATCAAAAACAAATAACTTGGTGTTGAAACAACCAGGAAAGCATGTAGACATACCTATACATGCTTGTACTCACATACATATGCAAACACATACGTTTAGACGATGTAAGTGTAAATATAAGCGAAACACACGAAAGTAGACCGCCACAGCGGACAAGCGTGTTAGCCTAAGTTGCTGAGACTGGGTGGGTGAAGCCGAGGCCTCTGGATTATGCTGGCTACCGTGGATGATTCCCCCCATCCTCCTACATTCTCCTCCCCACCCTCCTTGTAATCATCGTCATTTCCTCCTCCTCCTCCTCCTCCTCTTTCTCCTCCTCCTCCTCCTCCTCCTCCTCATCCTCCTTCTCCTCATCTTCCTCCTCCTCCTCATCCTCCTCCTCCGCTTCCTCCTCCTCTTCCTTCTCCTCCTTATCCATCTCTCTTCTCCCCTTTCCACCTGGAGAGGGGCATGCTCCTCGTCCTGGCCAGCGTGCTTCATCGCCGGCCTCAGGAGAGCGTCGGCCTCGGGCAGGCCGTGCCGGCAGCTGGGAAAGGCCCCCGACCCTCAGCACCGGCTCCGCACCCGAGGCTCGCCGACCCCTTCCGCGAGCCCACAAGCTACGCACACGCCCTGCCACGTACAACGGAGAGTATGGCGACCCCAGTGCCCGACCTTGCAGGGCTTGTTTCGACTGGACCCATCCTCGATAAGGGATGTATGATCGGGGCCCTGTCCTCGACAGGGGTGCGCCCGAGTGGCCCTCCTGAGGCGTATCCCAAATTATCCGCTTGTTTCTGAACTGCTTGATTTTGGATGGGACGTCGGGGATCGGGGGCGAAAAATCGTATGCGAACGTGCACGAGCACGCCCCCCCCAGCCCCGCTTCGCAAGGCCACCCTCGTGCTGCGAGCCGTTCGGTGCCACGAGCCCTCGTGCTGCAGCGCTGGGTGCGGCGCGCACCCTCGAAGCCCAGGCAAGTTCGTGGGAGCGCACGGTCTCTATGCGGTATCGCACCAGCAAAGCACCCGAATAGCAGCAAAGGTAGTGAGGCATGTCGAAGAGAAGAAGGACATGCCAGGACAGCGGTACGAGCGCGGCCATGTGTCACGAGCGGCACATGTATCCATATCCGCGCCGTCGCGGTCGCACCAATTCATTCAGAGCGGGTGTCCGCGAAAAAACGCCCCGCATCCGCGGGGTCGCGGCCCCAGAGCCGAGACCGCGAGGCCGCTGATACGGATATGTGCTTCGCCCACGACTGCGCACCCCAGTGCAATCCTATGAAGCAAGCATGAGCCCCAGCGATATCGCCAGCACCAAAACAACAAATAAATATTGTCGACGGCGCCCTCCAAACGATAGCACCAGCACAAAATATAAAGCAATGTTAGCCAGCGTAGACCCCACATAGCCTGTTTCTAACCATTTATGTTGTGCAACAGACGTGGATCACTTTATGTGCAATATGTGATGTGCCATTGACGCAGTGTGCAATATGTGTGGTGTATTCTCTACGCCGTGCAATATACGCAATGCCATTTAAGTGGTGCAATATATACACACATACATATATACACATATATACACACATACATACATACATACATACATACATACATACATACATACATACATACACACACACATACATACATACATACATACATACATACATACATACATACATAGAGAGAGATGGTATCCTCTACAAAGTGCCAGATACGTGGTGCAACCTACGCGGTGCAATTCACTTACCGAACCTGAAGTTGTCAACTCCATTGCTCGCGCAGTCATCCTACCCCCCCACCCGCAACTTGGCTTGCAAAACCCACGCGGGGACGATTGCGATGAGTGATTAGTGTTGGTTGGTGCGTCTGCGCGGCCGAACAACTCCGCGCATGCTCGCGCGCGCAGCGGCCAGCTAGATTGGCGCGACGACGCGCTGGCCGCTCGGCACATCCCAACGTGCACTTCAGTGCGGACTGTGCCACCCCAGCACGCGCGCACAGGCGTTCGAACGATTTCGACATGCGCGCGCGAGGTCCGTTTGGCAGCATGTAATGGAAATGTTGAAAACCGATGGTTTCCTTAAGAATTCGGAAGAGCGCGCGCGCAAGCTTTTTGGGGAAACCCGCGTTGCGAAACCATGTGTTGTATATGTTTTTTGGACACTCGATTTCGAGACCCTTCCGAATCCGAAGGTATCAGAAAAAATCCGGTATGCGCACACGACGACGCGCGCGCGCACTTCGTCTCAGCTTTTGCAAGGGACTCTTGGAAACTTCTGGTTTTTGATAATCGGTTGCGCGCGCATAATAGGATTTGCAGAGAATGGCGGGGGGGGCGATGCCAGCTCGGCTGGGATGGTACGAGTTCATTTTGAGAATGGACGATAGGGCTGGATTATATGCAAATTGCGATACGAAGAGGTGGGCCGATAAACCCGGTGGGAGGTAGAGTTCTTCTCCTTTCAGAAAACAAATTAATCAATGCTCATCTTGAAATTGCGCATTCCACTGCTCGCGCAGACACCCCACCCACCCACCCGCAACTTGGCTTGCAAACCCCATGCGGCGGCAATTGCGACGAGTGCTCGGCGCTGGCTGGTGCATTTCTGCGGCCGCGACAGCCCGCGCATGTACGCGCGCGCGTGCTCTTTGGCGCGACCGACGCAGCCGCTGCGGCGCCGACCGCTGGGCACATCCCAGCGGGCACTTCAGTGCGAGTCGGCGACTTGGGAAGGCGCGGTATCATGACAACGTCGACAACGGTATCACGGCAATGATAATACCGATGCTGGCGACGATGCTTACAGAGACGACCACGGCCAGTGACGGCGCGGATGCTGATGACGCCAACAACGACGACGGCGCCCTTGCGTCGGCGATGAAGGCTTTGGAAAAATTCGACACGCGCGCGTGGCCGACGCTCGAGACTGCCAAGCATGGCATTATCTGACACGGATCACGACCTCCCGACCACCCCACCCTCACGCGCGCAAGGGAGCCCGAATGGTGTCGGCACGCGGCGCGAGAGGCCCGTTTGGTAGCAAAACATAAAAATGTTGGAAAACCGATGGTTGCCTCAAGAATTATCCAGACCGCGCGCACACGCTTCCATGAAAACAGATGTTGCGAAACCGTGTGTGTTTGAATGTGTTTTGGACAGTCGGTGTTGAAATCGCTGCGAAACCGAAGGATTTCGGCATGCGCGCGCGACGACGCGCGCGCGCACACTTCGCCCAACTGTTTGCACATGATTCTCGCGGCGGCACGCGCGCACAGGCGTTCGAACGATTCCGACGTGCGCGCGCGAAGCCCTTGGCACAATGTTCTGGAAATGCCGATGAAAAGCCTAAGGTTCTCTTAAAAATTCGGAAGAGCGCGCGAGCAAGTTTTTGTTTGGAAACCCGCGTTGCGAAAACATGTGTCTGCATATGTGTTTTGGACGCTGAATTTTGAAATCTTTCCGACACCGAATGTTTTTGAAGGGTTTTGGCATGCGCGCGACGACACGTGCGCGTGCACTTCGTCCCATCTGTTGCGAGGGGTCCTTGAAAGCTTTTGGTGTTTGATAAAAGAGTGCGCGCGCATAATATATATATATATATATATATATATATATGTGTGTGTGTGTGTTGCAGAGGATGGCGGGGGCGGTCGATACCAAGTGAGCTGGGATGGTACGAATCATATTTAGGATGGACGATGGGGCAGGACTATCTACAAATTGCAATACGACAAATGGTACTGATAATCAAGGAAAACTGATGCATGCTCAACTTGAAGCTGCCCATTTCACTGCTCGCGCAGACACCCCACCCACCCACCCGCAACTTGGTTTGCAAACCCCATTCGGAAGCGATTGCGATGTGCGCTTGGCCTTGGCTGATGCATCTTTGCGGCCGCGCTGACCCGCGCATGCTCGCGCGCGCAGCGGCCAGCTAATTTGGCGCGACCGACGCGAACGCGGTGGCGCTGACCGCCCGGCAAATCCCAGCGGGCACTCCAGCGCGAGTCGACTTGGGCGGGCGCGGTACCATGGCAACGCCAACAGCGGCAGACACGATGATGATAGTAACGCCGACAGCGGTAGACAGCGGTACCATGGCAACGACGACGCTGACAGCGACGACGGGGCAGCCAGTGACGGCGCCGATGCTGATCACGCCGGCGACGATGACGGCGCCTTCGCGTCGGTTATGAAGGTTTTGGAAGGAGTTCGACATGCGCGCGCGGCAGACGCGCGAGTGGCCCGCATGGCATTATGCGGCACAGATCGCGCCAACCCAGCACGCGCGCAAGGGCGTTCGAACGATTTCGACATGCGCGCGCGAAGCCCACTTGGTAGCATGTTATGAACATGTTGAAAAACCTATTGGTTTCTTCAAAATTAGGAAGAGAGCGCGCGCACGTTTTTTGAAAATCCGCGTTGCGAAACCCTGTGTTGCCATATGTGTTTGGACACTCGGTTTTGGAGTCCTTCCGAAAGCAAGGTGTTTGAAGGATTTCGTAGCTTTCCCACCCCCAGCTCACCCCCTATGGTGTCGAGGATGTGCCACGCATGCCACGTCTGGCGATCCCGAAACGGATCGCGCCCCCCCCGCCAGCGCACCCCCTGGAGCTTCGAGGAAGTGCCACGCCTGACACCCTTTGCGGGCCCGAAACGGATAGCGCTCCCACCGCCAGCGCACCACCTGTGGTGTCGAAGAAGTGCCACGCCTGCCACGCTTTGCGAGCCCGAAACGGATAGCGCTCCCACCCCAATTCACCCCCCGTGCTGTCGAAGATGTGCCCCGCCTGCCACGCCTTGCGCGCACGAAACAGATAGCGCCCCCACCCACAGCGCATCCCCTGTGGTGTCGAGGAACTGCCACGCCTGCAATGCCTCGCGAGCCCGAAGCGGATAGCGCCCCTACCGCCAGCGCACCCCCTGTGGCGTCGAGGAAGTGCCACGCCTGCCACGCTGGGCAAGCCCGAAACGGATAGCGCCCCCACCCACAGCGCATCCCCTGTGGTGTCGAGGAACTGCCGCGCCTGCCATGCTTTGCGAGCCCGACACGGATAGCGCTCCCACCCCCAGTTCACCGCCTATGGTGTCGAGGATGTGCCACGCATGCCACGCTTTGCGGGCCCGAAACGGATAGCGCTCCCACCCCCAGCACGGCCCCTGTGGTGTCGAGGAAATGCCACGCCTGCCACGCGTTGCGGGCCCGAAACGGATGGCGCTCCCACCCCCCGCGCGCCCCGTATGTGTCGACAAAGTGCCACGCCTGCCACGCTTTGCGGACCCGAAACGGATGGCGCTCCCACCCCCCGCGCGGCCCCTGTGGTGTCGACAAAATGCCACGCCTGCCACGCGTTGCGGGCCCGAAACGGAGAGCGCTCCCACCCCCCGCGCGGCCCCTGTGGTGTCGCGGAAATGCCACGCCTGCCACGCTCTGCGTGCCCGAAACGGAGGGCGCTCCCACCCCCCCGCGCAACCCCCCCGTGGCGCCGAGGAAGTGCCGTGCGCTTGCCACGCTCCGCGAGCCCGCCGCGCGTGTGTTGCATGCGTCTGGTGCGTGCGATGCGTCAGGAGGAGGTGTGCGTGCGTGTGTGTGCAGATGTTTGTGTGTGTGTGTGTCGCGCGTGGAAGAGAAGTGACGAGCAGGGGCAAGGAAGGGTGAGGAGGGGCGGCGGGGGAGTGAGACGCGGATGCGACGCGGCAGGGAAGAAAACCAGCACCCCTACGAAACATGTGGGGAACAACACGTACTGGGTGCCAGGTTGGATGTGGACGCCTGCCTCCTGTGGGTGTCTAATATGTTGTGTATACGTCTTGGGTGTATGATGCAGTGATCACGCCAGGCGTGCACTGGCGTTGTATGGTTTGTATGCGAACATGTGCATGCGAGGGGTTGTGTGTACACCCGTGTCTCATGCACATGCCGTGCATATGTTGCGCGTGGGTGAGGGAGGAAGGATGAGGAGGGAGAGTAGTGAAACGCAGGTGCGACGTGGCAAGGAAGAAAACCAGAACCCCACGAAACATGTGGGGAAAAAAAGCAGAGACAGGGAGGGAGAGAGAGAGAGAGAGAGAGAAAGAGACAGACAGACAGAGGCATAGAAAGAGAGAGAGAGAGAGACAGACAGACAGACAGACAGACAGACAGACAGACAGACAGACAGACAGACAGACAGACAGACAGACAGACAGACAGACAGACAGACATAAAGACGGACAGACAATCAGGCAGACAGACAGACAGAGAGACAGAAGGAAAGAAGCAAGCAAACAGACAGAGAGAGAGAGACCCATATAATGGAAGAGAGATCTCGTGCGAAAGAGATAATAAAAAACAAAAATATATGCCAGAATCAAAAAGACAAAACTAGACAGAGCAGCATGGTACACAGTAGCCCCTTTTCCGAACCAGTCAGAGTTGTCCCTCTCTGGGGGGGGGGCATGACGCAAAAAAAAACGTATGCGCGCCAGCACCGACAACGTTCATAAGGAACTCAAGCCATGCACAGAAACAACGCTTTCCAAATTCGATACAGGGCAATCAAGACACTTCGACATATTTGAATTCGATGCCTGGAAAAGCTGGAGGCACTGGTCTGGCCACTCGGTAGTAGCCCGCACGACGTAACCGGTAAACGGACGATGTGATCATTAAGTCTCGATGCTCCGATTGGGGACTCATGGAACTTAAACTGGCCACATTGAAAGCATCGAGCGCAGAAAGAAGCTGTGCCCTGAAGGCTGGACGTGACTTGATTGGGAAAACATTGTCTCGACCACCCTAGAAGCATCCTGTGCAAAAAACTGTAAGGCCTGGCCAGGCACGCTGAATCTCTCGACACTCAACCCTTCGCCATGCGAATATGTCATGGACTAAGAGGCCAAGCGCGCTGGCCACCCCTGTGTGTAACATATGTTGTGTGAGGGGAGAGGCGCGATCCTACTGTGAACTTCACCGACCCCAATTAATCTGCTCCGTCTCTCCGACCACAATCAAACTTTTGGCCGCATCCACACTCCCTCCCCGGTCAGCTGAAGATTGCAGGCCTCGTCCTCGGGCATCGGTGGCTCCAGCTTTTCCATGAAGACATCCTTGACATCCTCGCCGCAGGCTACAAGAGACAATGCAAGAGTCGGGGGTTGGCTGCGAACAGCGACGGGCTCGGGACGAAGAAAGAGATATGCTTGTGTAAATATATCTATATATGTACACACATACATATACTTATACATATAATTATACACATACATATACATGTGCATGTGCATGTACATATACATATCCACGCAATCATACACATACAAATACACATACGCATACACATACACATACATATACATAAACGTAAACTAACGATAAGATACCATTCTACACATATACATATACATACACATAAGCACATAAATATACATACACGTATCCTTATACAGGTGCATACAAATATACCCATACATACACATGTGCATAAACACATATACAAATGCATACAGGTGTGCATATAAATATACATATATATAAAGACAAACACATACACCTAAACACACATACCTACATATGATGATGCATAAACGTATGCAAATACACATACACATACACATACACACATATACATACATACATGTACATATATATATATACGCACACATAAACATAAACATATACATATACCTATGTGTATACACATACATAAACATTTACGTATGCATGTACATATACACATACATGCACCTACACATATATCTATACACTTACACATACACATGTGCACACCTGCATATGTCTAGATGTATATATATATATGTATGGGCACACACAAAATTATATACACACACTACATACATACATACATATGTACGTACGTACGTACGTGAATACAAAAAAAAACATGCATGCATGCATACCTACATACCTACAGATTACCCCAGCTATGTTTGCACTTAGAGGTTATCACGTATTTTCAAACAACTGGGAAGAACTGGACCTGTGGGCTGCGGGCTAGTCTGGCGGCTGTTGTCGCCGTCGCCGCCCCGTCGCCGCCTCGTCACCACCCGTCGTCTGGGCCTGTGTGTCGGTCTGGCAGCTATGTTGTCGCCGTCGCCGCCCTGTCGCCGCCGTCGCCGCTCGTCGCCGCCGTGTGGTTGGACCACATGTTAGCCAGCGCGGACCCCAAACAGTGTGGTTCTAGCAACCGACGTTGCGCCATCTATTTCGAGCAATTTCTGTGGTGCAATCCGCATGCCCCCATTGCGGGGCCATCAGACTCCGAAGATTAGGCTTGCAGCTCCATGTGCCAGTTGCAGTTTCCAGTTTCCACTGTTACAGTCATGTTTTCTGCGCCGTTACTGTTAATTGTTGCTGAATGCGCGAGGGGGGGAGCCGAAAAGCGTCCTGGCTAGCGTCCCCGAATCGCGTTGTCTGAATTCCCGGGGGGTCGTGGGACAAGAAAAACTATGTGATACTCGCGTCCCCGAGGCCATACTCCCTAGTAAGTTACACAATAGTCGCGTCCCCGAGGCCATAAACCTTGTAAGTTATACAATAGTCGCGTCCCCGAAGCCAGAATCACAAGAAAATTTAACAATACTCGCGTCCCCCAAGCCATAGACCCTTGTAAATTACGCAATGGTCGCGCCCCCGACGCCATAAACCCTTATACATTATGGAATACTCGTGCCCCCCTAACCATAAACTTTCTGAAAATATCGAATATTCGCGTCCCCAGGGCCATAAACCCTGATAACTTAAACCATAGTTGCATCCCCGAAACCACAAACTCGCGCAAATTACAATATTCGCGTCCCCGAGGCCATAGACCGTCTCAAATTATATAATATGGGTGCCACCGAAGCCATAAACCCGCGTAAGTTACTCAATAGGTGCGTTCCCGAGGCCTCAAACCTTCGTAAATTACGCGATATTCGCGTCCCCTAAACCATAAACCGTCGTAAATTCCCTGAGAATCGCGCCACCGAAACCAGAAACCCTCGTAAATTAATCTTGGCCCTCGCGTGATGTCCCGACACTGCTTCACGTCAGCGCCCAGACATCCCAACACAGCTCTGGCAATTCTCATTCTAAGATAAGAGGCCGGCAGCATGGGGACGAAACCCTCACGGATCCATGTGGTGCAAAATCTGCTGTGCCATCTATGCGGTGCACCCTATGTGCTGCGATCGGCGTAATGCAAGCTATGTTGTGCAATATACGTCGTGCGATCTATAGTGTGCAACCTGTGGTGCAATTCAATTGCCGAACTTGAAGTTGCCAACTCCACTGCTCGCGCAATCATCCCACCCACCCACCCGCAACTTGGTTCGCAGAACCCATACGGGAGCGATTGCGATGAGTGCTGGGTGTTGGCTGGTGCACCTCTGCGGCCGCGCTAGCCCGCGCATGCTCGCGCGCGCACCGGCCAGCTAGTTTGCACGCGACCGACGCGAACGCGGTGGCGCTGACCGCTCGGCACATCCCAGCGGGCACTTTTGTGCGAGTCGGCGACTTGGGCGGGCGCGGTATCATGGTAACGTCGACAACGGTAGACACGATCATGATAGTAGCGATGCTGGCGACGATGATGATAGCGACGACGGGGCAGCCAGTGACGGCGACGATGCTGACCACGCCGACGACGATGACGGCGTGGTCGCGTCGGTGATAAAGGTTTTGGAAGGAATTCGAAATGCGCGCGCGGCAGACGCGCGAAAGTGGCTCGCATGGTAATATTTGACACGGATCGTACCACCCCAGCACGCGCGCAAGGGCGTTCGAACGATTTCGACATGCGCGCGCGAAGCCAGTTTGGTAGCATGTTATGAGAATGTTGAAAAAAAACTTAAGAATTCGCAAGACCGCGCGCACACTTTTGTTGAAAATCCGTGTTGCGAAACCATGTTGTTTTATGTTGTTTGGCACTCGATCTTGAAATCCTTCCGAAACCGAGCGTTTTGGAAGGATGTCGGCAAACGCGCGCGACGACGCGCGCGTATGCATGTCGTCCCATGTGTTGCAAGGGATTATGGAAATCTTCTGATTTTTGATACACGAGTGCGTGCGCATAATACTGTTTGCAAGGGAACCGAAGGGGGACCGAGACCGGCCTGGCTGGGATAGTAAGAGTTCACAGGTAGGATGGACATTGGGTCAGATTCCCGGGGCATCGATAAGTCCAGGGGGGAGGGTGGTAGAACCTTTCGTTTTCAAAAGAGAGAACATGTGTTGGGCAAAATACGTGTGCCAAACTACGTGGTGCAATCCAAGTGGCGCAACGCAAGTGGTGCGATTAATGTTGGAAAACTTGGAACTGTCAACTCCTGCGCTCGCGCAGTCACCCCGCCCACCCACCCGAAACTTGGTTGGCAAAACCCATGCGGCGGCGATTGCGATGAGTGTTTGACGTTGGCTGGTGCATCTCTGCGGCCGCGCTAACCCGCGCATGCTCGCGCGCACAACAGCCACTTAATTTAACGCGACCGACGCGGCCGTGGTGGCGCTGACCGCTGGGCACTTCCCAGCGGGCTCGTCAAATGAGTCGGTGGCTTGGGCGGGCGAGGTACCATGGCGACGGCGACAACAGTAGACGCGATGGTGATAGTAGCGATGATGGTGACGATGCTGACGATGACGGCGGCAAAGCAAATGGCGATGCCAATGCTGATCACGCCGATGACGATGACGATGCCCTCGCGTCGGTGATGAAGGTTTTGGAAGAAGTTCGCCATGCGCACGCGGCCGACGCGCGCAAATGGCTCGCATGGTGTTATTTGACACGGATCGTGCTACCCCAGCACGCGCGCAAGGGCGTTCGAATGCTTTCGACCAGCGGCGCGAGGACGCCCATTTTCGTCGAATTGTATGAACAGATTGACACACTGATGGTTGTCTTAGGGCTTCGCAAGAGCGCGCGCGCAGATCTTTTTCGAAAACGGCCGTTGCAAAACCATGTGTTTCTTTGATCCGCTTCCATAACACTCGATGTTGAAATCCTTGCGGAACCTAAGATTGTTGAAAGACTCGGGCATGCGCGAGCGACGACGTGCGCGCGCGTGTACACTTCGTCCCGTTTCTGTTGAAAGGGATTCTTGCGAGAGCACGCGCGCAGAGGCTTTCGAACGATTTCGACATGCACGCGCGAGGGGCAAGTTTGGCAGCATGGGGTCACAAAGTTGGAAAACCTATGGTTTTAAAAAAGACATCGAAAGAGCGCGAGCGCATGTCTTTTGTTTGAAGAGTCATGGTGCGAAGCCACTGTTTGTTTACACGTTTTCGAAGTACTCGGTCTTGACATCCTTGCAAAACCTTCGGTTGTTGATAGATTCCAGCATGCGCGCGCGAGGACGCGCGCGTGCATGTCGCCCCATCCTTTGCAAGGGACTCTTGGATACTGATAATGTTTGATAAAAGGGTGCGCGCGCATATTATGTTGTGCAGAGGGTGCGGGGGGGGGACGATAAGGAACTGCCTGGGATGGCACGAATTCCCCACTTGGGTGGACGATGGGGCAGAAACAAAGATCTACATGTGTGAAAGAAAGGGTTCTTTACAGGAAAAACCCAACAACCCAACAAAAACACAAAAAAAAAAAAAAAAAAAAAAAAAAAAAACGCAGCACGGAGAAGGTAGGGCCCCAACTCCGAGGGCGGGGGGAAGATCAAAATAATTGCGTAGAGAAGAAAACCTATGTGGTGCAAACTCTGTGGTGCGATGTACGATGTGCAATACACGCGGTATTATCCACGTGGTGCAAAATATGCAGTGCACTGCAGATATATATATATATATATATATATATATATATATATATATATATATATTATATATATATATATCATATATACATGCATACATACATACTTGTACACATACATATATATATATATATATATATATATGTATGTATGTGTGTATGTGTGTATATATATGTATATGTATGCATAGCGCTGCAAAACAAACCCCAACAAGGCAACGCAGAGCACTCGCAGAGATTGCACCGCATGCATCGCATCGCATAGACCGCACCACGTATATTGCACCACATATATTGAACAGCATAGGCCGCACGACGTAGGTTGCAACGGATAGGATGCACTACAAACATGTACCC